TAGATTGAGTTAGCAGGAGTACGCTAATTCAGCACTAGCTATAATTTTGTTCCAATGAATGAAATTCTAGTGCACTAGTTTCATGCGATCTAGAGACAATAGACCTAGGTATTAGTTTAGTTTACAAAGCGTTTACAAAAATAGTTTGAGATACAAAAAAAAATGGAAATATAATTAAAATATGTATGAACAATAATGCAATAAAGTATAATCAATCCTTTACAATTAGTTATTTCCTCTCACGGGACATAGTAAATTTAGAAAACAACTGGAATACTTCTAAGGGAACACGAAAAAATTACTAGTGATTATCTAGAAATAAATCACTAGTGATCATCTAGAAGAAAATTACTAGTAATTGTTTTAAAAAATCACTAGTGATCGTCTCGAAAAAAATGACTAGTGATCGTCTAGAAAGAAATTATTAGTGATCGTTTAGAAAAAATATTACTAGTGATCGTACAGAAAACAATTACTAGTGATCGTCTAGAAAAAATGTGTGATAATCATTAGTGGTTACCTAGAAAGAAATTACAATTAATTCTTTGAAACCAAATCACTAGTAACTATCTAAGAAGAAATTACTAGAAATTATCTAGAGAAATATTACTAGTAACGACTTAGTATAACGTAGAAAATATTAGTAACTTAAAAATTCGGTTTTCGGAAAATTTACCACAACGGCTCCTCCTTCTATGTTTGTAGCTAAGTACTCGACTCACTATTGATACAAAATGTTGGAACTAGGATTACCAAACTCTAAAAAATTGCGCATTTACGTCTTTTCTTTAACATCTTTAACATCGTCATTTAGACTGATTTTGAATCATGAAATTACTTCCTCGATAGTTATTATTACGAATAACCAACTTAACCTATAATCTCGGCAATAGTATTTTGTTAGGCTAGAAATACTCTATGCAAATTTCTCTGGTTGAATGCTCAAATTGCACAGAGGGATGAAACTCGAGAAATGTACATTTCATTCGCTTCAGATAATGACAACGAATAGAACAAGCGTAGGCAGATTCATGGAAGGCATAATTTCCACATGCATCCTCCGCCAATGTTGTCGGCTGAAATCGATATTCGTAATCACGATCGAAAAGTTGCGAGGATATTAACCCCTCGGAATAGGCACGTTGTCCCCTTATCATTATTTATATTCGGCCATTTTCCTTCCCTCTATCACTTTCAGTTCATACGCAGATATATATCTATATATACATACATTCCTAGGGGACATTCAGACACATGTCGATCCAAAACTTCGGGTGAAATCTTATATAAGCGTTTTTAAATTATTTCAAAGATATTTTCTTTTGAACTTCTTTTCCATTCGTTCCACAGTTGTCGATCAGATGAAAATAAAATTACTAATGCAGTAGTAGCAGTAGAGTACTGATACAATAATGATAGTACAGGATTAGTACAGTAATAGTATAGTAATAATAGCACAGAATCAGTACAGTAATAATAGTGTAGGATTAGTACAGTAATAGTATAGTAATAATAGCATAGAATCAGTACAGTAATAATAGTATAGTATTAGTACAGTAATAGTATTATAGTAATAGGGCAATAATAATAGTACAGTATTAGTACAGTAATATTATTACAGTATTAGTGCAGTAATAATAGTATAGTGTTAGTACAGTAATAGTAGTACAGTATTAGTACAGTATTAATACAGTAGCAGTAGTATAGTATTAGTACAGTAAGAATACATTATGTATTTAGTTAATAATTATTTATTAATTATTAATTATTAATTAAGTTCAGTTATTAATTAATTATTGACAACTACCAAGATAGCATTTAGAGTTTGATATATAAATTACATTCATGTTTAATAGCCAATGAACTGTAATAAGGAACTGTTATTGTTAATCAATTCTAATTTAGCAATTATAGTGATGAGAACTTGCCCATATTCTAATCACTGTATCAGAAAAGATATTCCTATCATAATTGTGACTATACAGCCACTTTATTTCTAAACAGTGCTTCCTTCCTTTCTTTTGAATCATGTTGAAACCTAGTCTCAACCCCAATCCCTAGAGGAATAATAGCTGAAATTTGATGAGAAACTGTCACATATTGATGACATTATGGACTATCTTCTTGATCATTACACCAGGAAAAGTAATTCTATCATACTTTGATCAATTAGTCTCCCAGCCCTTTACTGGTTCACTACTTTTTTCTTCCTCTGATCCACGTCTGCAGCTTAATGATCCAATAGCTGGGGTTCGCTAAAGACCTGTCACTGTCAGCAACCGTTCCAATTAGGACAAAGAGTTGTCTTATCTCAATAATTACGTTAGGGAAGACAATACTAGCACACTGTAACCCAATTACACCTGTATTCCTCTCATTACCTATTTCTTCATCCTCAAACTATACTTTTCATCTCATGTCTCAGGCCTAACAATGCAACAGATGAAATTTGTCCTAAGTCAATCTAGGTCTATAGTTAATCTCCTTCTAATATCCAAATTATTTCTCAAACTATCCTATCCATAATTGAACAATAATATTATTTCTTCACTATATACTTCTCAACCATGTCCTTAAATAGTTATTTAAAGTTACAATTGCTATTTCAGTAACTATTTCAATCGGCTTGCTACTTGTCACACTCTCCAAAAATCAATTCTATCACTTCATAATGTCCACAAAGCCCCATGCAACAAAGAACACGTCCATTAGAACCCTTTTTCAGTCGCTCATTCAAACGATGGCCTGTCAGAGGCAGGCAAGTGTAACTTTTGAACGATGGTGTACACACACGACACGTTCAGCATGATCGCGATAGCGTGCCAATTCTCTGCTCCCATGCATATTTTATAACCTAGCATATTTACGCTTCGCACGCCACTAGGTGTAATTACGGATCTATCAGGAGGAAAATAAACACGTTGCCACTGGCTGGAAATAATTCTGGATTAACTGTTCACGTGGCTACACCTAGTAGCTATGGGACGGCTCCTGTTTTCCTTTCCTCTGTTCTTTTTATTCCTCCACGATCTTTTCTCTGCACCGATGTCGAAGGAACGTCCGATCGTATGAGTCTGACGGTCCGGAAAATACCTTCCGCGATCGTGCACCCTGAATTTTCATCGATTTTTCTGCTCTCACGGGTAGCCTATTGCTAGACATCTGTAAATGGTTCAGGAACGAAATGGTGTAGCAGAAGGTCTCGAAATGTAAGTTACTGCTTCCTTTATTTCGGTTGGAAAGTTAGGTTATGTATCTCACGAGTGAGTTGTTCCATACCAGAGGGCGTGTTTATAGCATAACTCTTGTTTTAATAATTTCTATAATTCTAAGGACTTTATTACTTTCTACTACAACTGTAACTACGAAGGTTAGACGTGCCTCGCTGCCCTCTCAACGGGTTAAATCATATGGACCGTTTATTTTGAAAGTAGTGCAAGTCCATTTAAAAAGAAAAAAAGGTATCACGTAATTTATGCTTAATTTAGCGTAAACTTTTTATTTATAACTAGTTAGTATTTAATATCTTAAAAAATGCCAATGCTTTGTTCAATTTAAAATTAGCTGATAAAAGAAATTGTGTAACCATTGATTATTGCGTCTGCTTTATTGTGTTATGCGTATTTAAAAAAGTATTATTAGATGTTCAATTTTGAAAAGGTATTTTGATTTTTTGTTATTGCGATGTGCTCCACGTGTATACAAATTTTCGTTGAAATCGGGTTTTTGGGTTACCTGTGCACTTCTTGTGAGACAGTGTGTCGATAATTTTGGCTCCGACTGTACATGGCGTCCTATTTAGATCTACTTAACCGAACATACTGATGATATTAGAAAATGTTTCGAACGATTAGTCAATTTTGGTACTGAGCTATCTATTGAGGAAAATCGTCCTTTTAGAATAGTGGTTCTCAATCTCCTTTCATGTATACCAATCAATGTGTAATTAAGTTATGTGCTTCCAAAATTTATGAGGTTTGTCGACATAAAAATGAATATTATTCGAAAATTATTTGTCAGTATCATAAACTACTGACTACGTTTCAATATTCAATGGTCATATAAATTTTGGAAAAACTAAGTGTTAATAAAATTTCGAATGTATTATAATTTCCATAGACCTATGGTGAAGACAGGATAAATGTTTTCTAAATTCGATGATAATATCAATTTTTGTAGAATTAAACATTTGTACAATTTTAAATATAAAATATAGGAATATAGAAATGTAAGAGATATAATAAAATATGTAATATAAAAATATAAAGATATAAAATAAAGCAATATAGAAATGAAAGAGATATAATAAAATATAAAATGAAAATTTAAAAATAAAACATAAAAATGTAAGAAGTATAATAAAATATAAAATATAAAAATATAAAATAAAGAAATATAGAAATGAAAGAGATATAATAAAATATAAAATGAAAATTTAAAAATAAAACATATAAAAATGTAAGAAGTATAATAAAATATAAAATATAAAAATATAAAATACAGAAATATGAAAATTTAAAAATAAAAAATATATAAATGTAAGATATAATAAAATATAAAATAATGAAATATAGAAATAAAAAAGATATAATAAAATATAAAATTTCCAAATAT